TGCACATACTGGATGCATCTACATAAGCTTTTGTATCAACTAAACTGGAAGATGTGCTCCAGGAGTGTACCCAATACACCAAGGTCCTGCATGGGACAAGCCTAGAGCTAACACAGAGTAAAACCCCTCCAATGCACACAGCACAGCTGTTGGGACAACAACACAACCTGTTTCTCTCTACAGAGCAAATCTTTGTGGGCCATACTTCATGCTAAAGTAGATGAACTCACTTAAAAGGAGACTCACCTGCGGAATCTCACTGCTGCTGAGGGCAGTTGTCTATCTTCTTCTTCCTTCTAGTTCCCAGTCTATCCATTTCGTTAGCACCAGCAACTGTCTAGTGGCACACAGGGCTTAGCTTCCAGACTTAATTAAAAACTAATCTCCCTTTTTTTCTCCCAGGGCTGGTTTTTGGTTGGATCAGTTTATTGTATGTTTAGTATGTGTTATTGTATGTTTAGTGCACTGTATGTGAGTGGCTGGTCTGATGCAGAAAGGGGGGATGAAAGTCCTTTTGGCACAAGTACAGTCTCAGATTGGCTCAGGCTAAAGATGGAACTTCTGGCCTAAATCAAATAAGGGTGTGAGGCGCCAGCAGGTACAGCAGCTTGTCCAAAACAATAGAGCACATTTCTAGCGCAGGTGAGTTGAAATCCTGCTATAATCAATGGCTGAGGTTTTACATCCCTAACTTTTTTAATTTCTCCATTGGTTTCTTGCCTCTTCCTTGAACTTCTGGAACACTACACAATTAAAGGGATGATGAAATAAAGCAACAGTGCCCCATCTGAGCCCTTGCAGAGCGGCAGGCAGGACTTTTCAGGGAAGACTGTCTAAGTGATTTTCTACTGTAAATCAACAGTGGGCTAACAACTGATAATTTTGTCTGTTGATTCTCAAAGACATTTCTTTAAAGGGGCCTTTGTTCAGTAGTTGGTCGGTCAGTCAGTTACTTGGCTATCTGTGCTTGAAGATGAAAATACAGACATGTAAAAACTTAAGAGAAGGAACAGTCCTTGCGACCACAGGGGTATTTAGTGACTGAGACCTGTGCCTGTATTCCTGAAAACACTGGTGCTAAAGCGGCACCTCAAACACGTGCACCAGAGGATGCTTCATCCTTTCATATTCTCCTGGTGTTCAAAGGTTCTTAGGACTGATGTTGGAACTACGAGTCACTGACTTTGTGGAAAGGTTTTCTGGTGAACACAATGAAATTTCTGTTATTTTTAGGGTCTGAGAAGGCTTTTCAACTTCAAGAGAAAAGAATTTCTCCAGCTTCTCTGACACTTGTACACGCAAGTCCTAAACAGCCATTTTCACCTCTTGAACTCCTGTGACTTAGAGAGATGGTACGATCTGTATTACATCTGCTGTAGTAGCACTTAAACAAACATCCTTTAAAAAATCTTGCTCACTCCCACCATCCAGAAATGCTATTTTGTATTTCATAAGTTTTATTTTTATATCTCAGCACTCAAAACACCAGAAGGCAGGAGTCTGGCCTAGTAATTATTAAACATTTCACCCTGATACAAAATCAACTTGCTTACTACATCCTTTATAGTTGTTATTTTTCTCAGTGTATTGGCTGCAGGGGCTGAGTCTAAAAATTCACTTCTGCCTCCTCTGTTGTGTAAGTCAGCAGTCTGCCCTCTTTTCACCTCTTTTCAGGGTGAAAGACATCCACGCACAGCCATGTCAGGGGTTGTGCAACAAGAAGATTATGAGGGTGGATCCACTTGTTTTGATCTCCCGACAGAGCACTGTGGCTCACCCTGCTTCCAGGCTCTGAGGCTGCTCTGAAGTTAATATATTAATGTGTGTATCTCACAGCCACCACTTACAAAGAGCCAAGCCTCAATGCTCTTGAGTGTGAGGAGCTAATTTCTAACTACTGAAATGAACTTGAGCACTGGAAGAGCTGGTTTGTCACAGAAGGGTGGTGTGAAGAGGGATGAGTGTGGCAGTTTAAGCCAGGTCTCATTATCACTAGGCCTCAGGGCACCAGCTTATCAGTAGGGGTGTAGCTTTATTGGGAAAACTGTATTTTATGATATTTGTGTCTGTATCTGAAACATTTGGTTTCAGTGAGGTATCAGAGATACCTCATGAGCCTCTGGCATGCTGCATCATAGAAATTAATAACAATTACCAGGAGATGCCCTTCCAGTGTATACCAGGACCCACTGTGCAGGAAGGGATAAAATAACACCAATATTCACACTGTACCAAGCACGCTCTTCCCAATGCATAAACTAAGGTAAATATTAACATATGTCAGACTTCTTTCTTCTCTCAACATACTCTTTTTCTTATAATTCAAGTGTTGGAACAGCTTTCTTCCAGCTAGCACATACCTGTGTCTTTTATCTAAAAATGCAGATTTGCACATTGTGAGTTGTAGCTTTCTCCTTCTACAGTGGGAAAATACTTTTCAAATGAAGAATACAGAACTAGGCAGCAAAAAAAACCCAAACTCAGTTCACAAGGTAAACAAAAGATCTTGCACTTACTGCACTTGTTAGACATCCTGTCTAGAATAGGATGGCAAATTGCCTGAGGCTTTGTTTATGCTGGCTAGCAAAAAATGGTGTAAACAAAGTTAAGGAGAAACTGGTTTCTAACATGATTTATCCAGTGTCTGGGGAATAAAATCAAGCTTTTTAAGGCTAAAAGGCAACAACAACAACATAAAATATTGCACTAGTGGGAGGACTGAAATGAGCTACATGTAAAATCAAGAAAAACAAGAGCAGGCATCTATGACCCCAAACCAGAATTCAAGACATTCAAATACAGAATAAACAGTGGAAGGACACCAAGTACAAACAAATTTCTGTGGCAAATATCCATATTTAAGGGTTAGTTTCAAAAGCAAAAGATCTACTCACAGTCTCCTTCCAGAAACTAAACTACAATTGTACCAGCTGTACATATTTTACTGTATCAGTAAGCACCAGTATATATTCTTATGTTAGTACAACATAATGTCACATACTTTTGTTTTTCTTATCAGAAGCTGGAAGACAAAACCACTCTTCATCCTGCAATTAAGAACACCAGGTGACAATCTGTTAGTCTACACAGTAAACAATGCATTTTATGAAGCATTATTTCAATTTCTTTGGTGCACTCTTCTATCTGTTTCCATCTATTGTTACCTATGGTATTTTTGACTGTGGGTGTCCTTGCGAAGATCAGGGCAGTGCAGTGTGAAACCAGGACTACTAAATGCTACAGAAATTAAAGTAATGACATATAAAACCTCTGTATTTTTCATTATAAACCAATTCAGTTCCAACATATGCAGTTGTTTTAAGGTATTTGTATCTTGAATTCAGCATTTAAGGATTTTCATAGAATCACAGACTGGTTTGGGTTGGAAGGGACCTGACAGATCCTCTAGTTCCAACCCTCTGCCACAGGCAGGGACACCTTCCACTAGAGCAGGCTGCTCTAAGCCCCATCCAACCTGGCCTTGAACACTGCCAGGGATAGGGCTGTCACAGCTTCTCTGGGCATCCTGTGCCAGCACCTCAGCAGCCTCACAGGGAAGAACTTCTGCCTAAGAGCTCATCTCAATCACCCCTCTGTCAGGTTAAAGCCATTCCCCTTGTCCTGTCCCTACAGGCCCTTGTCCAAAGCCCTTCTCCAGATTTCTTGTCAGTCCCTTTAGGCACTGGGAGCTGCTCTAAGGTCTCCCCAGAGCCTTTTCTAGGGAGCAGAGGTGCTTCTACAACCTTTTTTCACATACCCTTTTGGTCATGACAATTACATATTTCATGGAATCCTATTAAATATGAAACACTGATGGTCATAAGAATAAAAATTAAAAATAAGAAGTTAATACTTATGTTCTTGGAAAGTAATGCTGTAAAAGCCTTTCAGCTTGTGTGTTTGTATCTGTCTGTCTGCCTTGGTTCTCTCCTCACCCTTAAAGAAGAGGACTTGCCAGAACGTCTCATTGTTCCTTTCTGGCCACTGTTTCCCTGCATGGAAACTGGGTAGGGCACAGATGACTAAATGGTGGGAATTCAGATGTCACCCCAATTCTGGATGTAGACACGGCGCACACATTCAGGGAGCCTAAAGAGCACTCCTGAGGCACACAGTGTAGACACAGCTAAATTCAGCCAAGAAGAGGGCCTTAGGCAATAACTGACTTTGCAGCTCTGTCTAATCTCCAGGTTTATAACTGGATGTCTTTTGACATTGCTCCTATTGCTGTGTAGGAAAAAAGCTTCTGTAGTTCTATGAGGCAGTTCCCAAACAATAGATATAACTATGTATAATGGACATGTGCTGCTTAGTTCACCACAATTAGATTTTATGAATTTTGATGGTATTCCTTTATTTAAAACATGCCACCAAGAGTAAATATTTTATGGTCAGCAATCTATAAACAATGGAATTTAATTTCCCATTTACCAGGTATATGGAACTAAATCTGTATCCAGTGCTTTGTAATAAAACACAGCTCATAAAGTAATATGATGCTTTGGAGTATAAATACGACACATTATGCACAGCATATAATTTAATCATTCTTGACTATGGCATAAATGGTTGGAGGTGAAGGCCACCTACACTAATACTAATTACACCTTTTCACCTTCATGAACATACTGACTGAAGTACTTATCAGCCATGCACACAAGCAATTTGCTCTAAGCCACACAATGAGTCAGTGGCAAACAAAGGAGAGGAAACAAGGTCCCTTTATCTCCCAGACTTGTGAGCCAGCTTCACGCCAGCAAAAATTAAAAGCCATTTCATACTTCACTGCAATAAAGAAAATTCTTGCCATTTATCCAGTGTGCTTTATTGGAGTTGTAACCTCAGCCTCACAAGATATTAAAAAGCTTTGCACAAGTAAATACAAATATATAGGTATGTTTGTTAAATAGGGTAAAACATAAACTGAATGGATGAAACTCTCACAACTCCTAAAATAGCTTGTTTTTATTATCTGAACAAATTACTGAGGAAAAGAGTACTACCCTTAAAAGCACACATTTATTGTGTAAACCTCAGTATTTTATGTAGCCTTAGGTTCATTGCATTCTACACTACGTTCTTATGGTTCTTTAAATGACCACTGGGTGTCACAATTATCAACAGTAAGCTCTACACTTAGAGGACTTCTCCAGGTTCATTTCATGGCATTAATAGCCACCCCCATTCCAAGATGAGGAAATGGTTTCCTCTATAAAAATGAAAATCAGAGTTAACAGTGTTCTTTTAGAAACTACAGCAGAAATGGAGATTTGTTTTTCAAGTTGTTTCTACAGGTAAAATTCTGTCGCACTGCACATTTGTGAAGTATTTTCACTGCTGGAGTGGAATGCAGCAATTCCAGACTTCATGGACTTGAGGAACAGTTTCAATAGGCTCCCTATTTCACGAATTATGCAACAGCAGAATCAGTTATTTCCTCTCCATTTTTTAAGAGGCCCATTCACTCAAAGAAAGTCTAAACATTTTGGCAGTATATGAAACACTGTAGCTTTCTGTTTCAGGTCCCAGCTCTCAGAATCACACAACTAGCAGAAGAACATGAGTTGTCATGTGCTTTAATTGCAAAGTAAGTTTGTGGTCTTCATCACAGAAATGTGAGGCCAGTATAATCAGTGCCTATTCAAGTTTGCAGATCCACGTTTATACCTTACATCTGGAGTACTGGAAAGCTGCTCTATTGATCCAAAGCACAGGCTGCAACAAGTAAATTATCTGCAATTATACGGGGTACTACTATATATTCTATATAATTTAAACCATGTAACCATAAAATTTCAGTTTAGACTTCACACCCTCTGCATGAATACCATCAGGAAGGGCTGGCATAGCTGTGAACATACGGGAAAGGACACAGTGGACAGTCAAAGCGTGTCATGCCAAGCAGGCTGGTGCTCCTAAGTACTTGGGGCCACCACAGTATCTGCAGGATGCTTGGGAAGCCTCTGTAGTACACATGCTACAGGACACTGGTCTGGAGCAGGTGCTGAAATCAGTCAGGGATTCGTGTTAGGGAGCATTCTGGACAACAGTTTTTGGGATCTTTGCCAGGCCCTGTAAGAGGTGAAGAAAGGAGGAAAGCATTTCCTGGCATATACTGGAGTTTGGCGTTTGAAGGCTGACTGAAGGAGTGTGGGTATAGTTCTAACTATCCCCACCAGGTGGGCAACTTGTAGCTGTTGCCACGTTTCAAGTTTTCCCATCCCCTTTTTCTCACCCATGTCTGACTTTGGAAATAGAGAGAACTAAAAATGGAAGCAGAGAACTAACTTAATCCCTGAAAATGAGGCTCGACAAAAGCACCCACGGTTCCTGGCCACAGATCAGGTGACGGGTGAGAGATACAGGCTGAGACATGGGCAGCTGAGACAGAAATGCCAGACAGGCACTGTCGTAAGAGATGTGTAACACATGGCAGGCACCAGCCTCTCTTATGCACTATGTTTAGGGCCTCATATCGCCTTAAGCAAACCACCCTGCCCTACCCAGCATTTTCCAACTCTGCCATTTCAGACACTCGCTGGCTGATTGGCTAAAATGACTGTCTCAGCCAGAAATGGATTTATTTTCTGCCTTATTTTTACCTTTAACCTATTTTCATCCAAGCCCAGATGTACCCAAAAAGGCACACTCAAAAGAACTAAGCATTATCTAATACATAAAAGATGGATGCAGAGAGGAAGAGAATTAAGCTGTTCTTCATGCCCAGCATGGCACGATAAGAAGTAATGGGTGTAAACTGCAGGTGGAAGGTTTAGATTAGGCATTAGAAATGTTTTTTTAACAGTAGGCACAGTTAAGGACTTGAATAGATTGCATGAGGAGGCTGTGAAGGATTTCAAAAACAGGTTAGACAAATATTTATCAGGACTCACACTGGTGTATGTGTTTGCAGACTGGAGCAAGGAATGGATTTCTCAAAGTCCCTTCCAGTCCCGTTTTCCTATGATTTTGATTCAGCGATGTCTAATGGCCTATCTCCTATTAGGGATTGCTCTCACAATCTTAAAACACTGCCATCAAAAGAATAGGGAGGATTATTTATTTTTGTAATTAACATTATTCCAATTCCCTCTCTCCTTACTCAAAAAGCCCTCTCACTCTTCAACACATTCAACTGCAAATCTGAATACAGCCAGTAAAATAGCGAAGGCATTATACTGACAGCACTGATAACACTGTGGTAATAATACAGCAAGTGATCTGAAATCTATATTTCTTTTGACCAAGTTCTCACCCCTTATACCCTTTCCTCCTCCTCCCCACCCCAACACAATACCTAATTTTCTAAATTACTAGAGCTATTATGCACACTTTCATTAACATAGCAGGTGCAGTTACTTAGACCATTAATGTCCTAGCAGTAGTGTAAGTTGGGAGTGACCCCACTGCAAATTAACAGTTCAGACACAAGAGGTGAATGGTGCTTTAAAATACAGCTGGAAATCTTCCACTGTACCCAAACAGGACTTGATCCAGGGTCCTTGTCTGAAAGCTGCTCCCTTAACACAAGTCACTTGAGTTGGAGGAGAAAAGCGTTACAGATTAATTCTGGTTTGTGGAGAAAAGAGGCTCTTTTCTTCCAGCTGAAGTTAAAAGCTGCCAGCAAGCATCAGCAACCTATTTGGAAATTCTGAACTGACTCCTGATGCGATTTGACCATGGGCTTTTTCTCCCCTTGCTATTGTATTATTTCTATGAAGTCAGTTACCAAAAGCTTCTCTGATTCAAATTTATTCTTTCTACTCTTTCCCTTCACACTATTGGGCCACTATTTGTCTTCCCTTTCCCCTTCCCACCGCTTCTCAATAATAACTTCCTTTTCAATAGTTTGAAAGACTCAGACCAACATCAAGAAAAAAAACTACAGTGAAATCCCCTCTATTCATACTGTTCTGTTTATGCTAACTTCCAATTTTGTCTTCTTTTTCTAAACTGTAAGCTTACTGGGGCATAGCCAGACATTCATTTTATGCCTGTACTAAATATCTACAAAAATAGGGTTCACTTTGCCTGGACCTATAGCAATTACTGGTTCATGGATGTTTAAAATACTGCATAAGTAATGCAACGTAATGTAATGTTGAACTGTGGCTACTACCACATACTTTCCTAGAGAAGCAGAAAAAATAACCTCCAGGAATTCTTCCTGAGATATTACAAAAAATTACTCAAAACAGGAGATGCAAAAAAGACAGAATGATGTGTCATACTGAGAATGCTGCTGTGCTGCTCACAACCCCACATGTCAAACCACACCAACAATTACTGAACACAGCACTGGCCACGGAGCAGGGTCCCACAGGGTTTGGTATTTGCATCACCTGTGCTAAATATTCTGAATAACTTTGGTTTAGCTACCTGACATATTACTCATATAAACCTGTAGTTAAAGGTAGGATATGACTGCACAGCTGAGCACAGCACTCCTACCAACTAACTCCAAAACAAGATGCTCCAAAGGTGTGTCATCAGGGCACCCCACCCCAGCTAATAAGCATGGCAAGCAGCTGGGCAGGCCGGCTAAGGCAGGAGACCTGCCGCTTCCATAACCCCAGCCCAAAGCCCAGTGTCCCTGTGGGTGCTGGAAGGAGGAGCAGGCTAAGTGTTAGACCCATCTCACTTCAAAGACTTTAAGAAATAGCCTTTTGATGTCTGTGTAGAACATACAGATGTAAAGATAAGATCTACTTCTCTTTTAACTTAGAGACCTCTTTAAGTGAGATTCTGGTCCAGCTAGACACAGCAATCCTTGTTCACAGTGGCCTAAATTGCTCTTCTTCAGCAGAGCTACAAGGATGGCAACATGATCAGAAGTTACAACAAATTCGGTCTTATGTTTCTGTGGATTAATGATGTCATTCCATAAATGCTAATTTATTTTAAAGGACCCTGTGTGACTTCACACCAGTAAGAATTACAACAAAACAACCAGGGGAATCACATACGTGTAGCCAGTCTTAAACTGATGCAAATCTCATTTAAGGAAACAAATAACAGGCCAAATGTGTTATCTACCTGTACTTAATAAAACAGAAATCTATACTAAATATTATTTGGGATAATCACCACGGGTCATACCCAGTGAACCTCATTCTGATATGTGACTTACTCTTCGTCACATAAAACTTGTGCATTGTAAAGAAAGCAGGATTAAGCCAAACAATTCCATGAAATCATTAGCATCCTGCCACAAACACAAATCAGACACGCGTAAGAATAAAAAGCCAGTTTGGCAAGATACCATAGTGCCAAGTCAGGTTATAATAATGTCTAATTAACACTCTTCCAAGTTTCAGTGTTACTTATTTGCATTTCAGTGTCACTCAGAACAATACAAGAGTACTGAGTATTCCTGCCTATGGAAACCTCTAAAACAAACATGAAAGAAGAATTTGCAGCCTGATCTGTACAAACAGAAATGGCAAATAAAAATGACAACTGAACTTGACAACCCGTGATGAATACATCTTCAGAAATGAGAAGACTGACGTGTGTCCACTGTCAAAGCATAAATCAGCACAAGTTGAATACCTGAATGTGTGTATTTTTAAAGCAACCAAACTAACTGAGCAGCAACGACTGCCCTTTACTATCTAATGAACTCTATGCATGAGATTCTAGCTAGGCCCAAGAGTTACAAGACCTATACCCTGAAAACTTCCCTTCCTCCTTCCAGCTGGAACTACTTCCCACCGTGCCTCCCAGCTCTGAGTGTATGCAGCAGGACACACTAGTCTCTCAAATGTGGCATTCTGAAGAAGTGTCATTAAACAGGAGTTGCTTACAAAGAAGTTATTAGTATTTATAGAAAACTAGGAATTACTTTAAAAGTTCTACAGATGTATCATCTTGTGCTGATGGATAAAAATAGTAATGACAACATACAGGGTGTCCTTCCCATTAGTCAAACTGGTAATGAGTAATGCAGCCAAATGAATGTCAGTAAAACCTACCTACCACGCCATGCTTCAGAAACCTTTTTGGCAGTCTTCCTTAAGAGAGAAGCCACAAAAGCATAAAGGTTTAATCTGCATGTATTTGAAATTCCTGTGTTATTTGTGAGGCAAAGATTCAAATAAAGTGTATTACTCGCCACAAACCACTGTCAGTGTCCACCTATATCCTATAGATTGTACCCTCTTCAAAAAAAAACAAGCATTTTAGAAAACAGGAGAACACTACATTTTCTACGTGAAAAATCAGGTTGGTTTAGAGCCAAAGACCCAAATAGATCAGTCAAAGACAAAAAAAACATTCAAGTACAAGGCACTAGAAGCCTTTAGAAAAAGATCTGAATAAACTCTTCTGCAAATTGTAATGCTTAAAGGTCATGGAATCACATGGATTTAACATCTTACTTCTTACTGTTAGCTCAGAAGGAACTTCTTCCTTGCATGAGTGTCCTCCTGAGAGTTTGAGTGTAATGCTGTTGGGCCATGACTCTGTTTCCCCCTCCTGCATCTCAAGGCAGCATAGTTCTGGTATAACACTATTTTCAAGCATGCAGCAGAAGCACTTTTGTGCTGGGTTATTGGTGGTGTCTTGTGTCCTTTATTACAGCAGCTATTTGAAACTTAATGAGGTCTTAAGTAAGAGAGTATGTGCCAAAGCTGATGTACTGGAAAACAGTTACAAAATAGATGAAGTGGTGAAGACTTTTAACTAGGTAAATGTATGGAGCCACATGAAGGACTCTTCTCTAATTTTGTCTATTTCTGATGTAAATACTACGTGCCAACAAGGAGAGAGAAGCTTGTACAGAAAGCTGTATTTTAAGCTATATGGAAAGATAAGAGTTGCCACAAAATCTAGTGATATCCCTTAAATAAAGGGCACTTAAATAGTAATGCAATGACATTCTTGTGACACTAACCTTTACTCTCTTGTCCAAAGCAAGCAAGGAGGATCTGGCAGTTCACTTGCTTTTAAACGTGAGCTCGGGAAAACCACATATTCCCGATTAAGAAGGAAAAAAAAACAACTAAGTAATCACAGGGCTCCAAGGAGCTATTCACAAGCTTAATGTTAAGATATAATCTGCTGGTGATTACGTAATAATTTCCCCTCTCTGCCCATTCCAGAGTGGATATGAGATACTACTGTCTACATGCCTGGTCTTGAAAGTCTAGTTCCAGGTGTAAGAGCTCACTGCAATACAACCCTCTAGAGAAAACAGCAAAAGCAGAGAGAAAGGACTAGTGTACATGTCCTCTGGGGAGAGGCAGGTCCTGATTCAGTGGATAGGCAATAGAAAGTAGTGTGTTACCCCACTCAGGGTTAGGCTCTAGGAGCTATGTGGGAGTTGGCAGACACAATCAACAAGCCTGAAATAACAATTGCCTTGAGAGCCAGCAAGAAGTAAAAGGCAGGGGAGCGGCCCTCCAGTAGGAAAAGTAAAACAACAATAGAAGGATAAATCTAATCTCACACAGAAACACCGATAACCCATCTGAGACCTGGACATGAAACCAACACACAAATATTAAGGAACACAGGCTACAGGAGACGCTCTTAAACTTGGAAAGCCCCATGGGACAAAATCAGTGCAAGGCTTTTCTGTGGAATATCTGCCAGCTCCTGCTGCACACAATGGCCAGAAGGGAATTTAGGAACTGTTAGAGTGAACATTTATGCCTATCAAGATGTGGAGAGAAAAAACCCCAAACCAATAGTCCAAGTATGCTGTAATTCTGCCTGTTGTAAGTGTGGGAACATCTGCTTGAAGCACTGACATGATGGCCTACCATCTTTCCAAATCCTGGCTATACAGAACTTCCTAACGTATCTGAAAATGAGTGATACACCACAGTATACACAGCCAGATTTTGCAGGCTGATATCTAGGATAGTCCCAGAGAAATAAATCATGCATGCAAAGCAAGTCTGACATGTCAGATTCACAGTGTATGTAATATTGTCTTGCTGCACATGCTCAGAGAAGTTGCACAGTAAGCAACAGTCTGGCATCAGACCTCTTGCACATGCATGTTTTATCTGACCATACAGAGCAGTCTGACTTCTCCCAATACATGGCATCCTGCACATCCAGAAAGATACCAGTGCCAACAGAAATATAGGGAAAGCCATGCCAGATATATATTCCCTTCTATAAGAAATTGTATTGACCACATAATAATATGGAACACCCTGTATGGAACAGGACATTCTGTATCACATGGGATCCTCAGCACTTTCTGACATTTATTTTTGTTACCACAACATGCTATGACTGCCCGGGAGAGTGCAGAGGTCAGCATCAGTGTACGTACATGAATTTGGCTAACAGAAGACACAGTGTGATTACCTAATATTTAACTAGGTTACAATAGCACTAATGCACTTATCCTTGCCACATGAGCTCATCTACAAGGCTTCCTACTGGAGCTTTGGGACATTGTATCAGTAACCCCCAAGACATGACAATTACTGAGTCATCAATATTGTTTCCCCCATACCACAGGGATTCTTCTTAGAAGTGTATTTATAATCACAGCAAAGTTAAAGTTGGTCAGGATCCTTTGCAGGTCAACCTCCTGCTCCAAACAGGGCTATCTTCAAAGCTGAACTAGATTGCTACTAGATTGCTCAAAGCTTTGTCCAGTCTAGTTGTATCTCCACGCATAGAAAGTCCACAGCCACTCTGGAAATGTGTTCCAGTACTTAGCCACTCTCACTTTGAACTTTTCTTACCCACAACTGGAACTTCTCTGGGTGCAACTTCTCATTTTTGTCTCTTGTCCTGCTGCTGCACATCTCAGAGAGAAGCCTTGTGCCATCTTCTTTGTAATTGCCCCTAAGAAGGTGAACGCTGTAATTAGATCCTGGTGCAGCCAAACCCACATCCTCAGCTTCTCCTTGTACATCATGTGCTCCAGCCTCAAACACCTTCACAGCATATGCCTGCTGGGTATATTGATAATATAGCTCTGTAGGTGTTGAACTCCCATGCTGAATTTCTTTTGACCACTAGGATGGCCAGGCCCTTTTCTGCTGGGCTACTCCCAAGCCAGTTGGCAGTCAGCCTGCAGCACTGTATGAGGATAGCCTGTCCCATGTTCAGGACTTTGCACTTGTCCCTGTTGACCATCACAAAGCTCTTGCTGGCCTATTCCTGCAGCTTGCCAAGGCCACTCTGAATGGCAGCTGTGGCCTCCAGTATGACAACTGATCTCCCCAGTCTGGTGTGGAGATGGGCTGAAAACTTGCTGAGTGTGCATTGTGTCCCATCTGAGTCACCTATGAACATATCAAACAGGACTTGCTTCAGTAACACTCCCTGATCCCTCCTAACTGGGCATCAGTCAGACTTTCAAACCACTGAGGCACTACCCTTCAAGTCTGGTGGTACAGCTGTTCTTTCACATACATAGTCTGCCCACCCCATCCACATCTCCCCAGTTATAAGGTTACTGAGGAAGACCCTATCAAAAGCCCCCAAAAAGTCAAGCTTAAATGGCATACTGTGATTTCCCCTTGTTCACTAAGCCCAAAGTCAGTGACATTGGATCAGACATACTGAACTTAAAGGCCTAACATTTGTGTTTTTTCAATCATGGGCAGTTTTCTAGATGCCTTTCAAATGTCACAGGGAGTGAACACACAGTAACACTGATGAGCTCCCTCAATACTCAAATGCATGCCATTTGGTCCAGGACTTGTATATGACCAGTTTGATTCAGTGGGCTTCAACTTCATCCTCATCTACTGTGGGTAGTACCCCTTCCCCAAAAAGTCTACTACCGGCCACACACAGAAGCCTGGGAGATGTGCAAGCCTTTTTCCCAGTAAAGACCAAGGTGAAGGGGGCCTTGAATATCTTGGCCTTTTCCTTATCACCAGGACAATCACCCAATTCTGCAGCAGGCCCACATTTTCCCTGGCCTTCCTTTTGCTGTCAATGTACCTGGAGAAACCGTTTTTGTAACTCTTCACAGTCGCTTTCAGCTGCAACTCCAGTCAAGCTTTGGCTTTTCATATTCCACTCCCTTGCTGAAATCCTCTGCACAAGGTGATGGAATTGCAGCCCAGTGTAATTTGCTCACAAATCCTCTATCTGCTGAATGTTTTCTAGAAATGCTGTTTAAGGAGGGTTGCTGTTTTTCATCCATATTCCACCTTTTGAAAGTTGCAAGCATGTGCAGATGCCTGTTCAAGCACTTATTTAGTTGGTACTGTGGAAAATGCCATTGTTCTAAATTATTCTTTCTTCCTTTGTTCTTTGTTATTAGTTGGTTTGTTTCCAATAACCACAAATTTGGAAAGGCTCTGGAAAGTAAAAATATACATAATGTACATCTGATAGGAGGGAATCAAATTATTCACTACCTTCATCATGCAGCTTTGACTGCTAATCCATCTCTAATTATTTTGTAATATTTCAGCTCTGCCACAGCAGCCTCACATGGCTATCATCAAAAAACCAGCCCCTTAATGAAAGAGTTCCTTCCTATTATGCAGATCTGGACTTTCTGTCCCATCCTCCTCTAAAACAAAGTAAAAACCAAGCAAACCAGCCAAAGTTTGATTAGTCCTAGTCAGCACACAAATGATAAATTCAAGGGTGGTTTTCTTTTCTAACTTTCCAGACCTAGAGAAGGGAAGCGTTTCTTGCTTTTCTAGCATTTCTATTTAGTCTACACTGTCCTGAGACAGAGTTTTACATATAAAGATATCACTTGTTCAACATATTCCACACTTGGTTGGTTTTGACATGGAGTGATTGGTCTCTTCTGTCTTCTAAACTTCCACCAGAACTAATAACTGTTTCTGCAACATTTCTCTATTAAAGACATGGGCCTATGCAACAGGAAGTTGTTTGAATTACAATCTAGTCAGAATTGTACACATGCTGCATGTTTATGTGTTCCCTCTCTACTTCAGTAACATGGCTGATACCACAACTGTGTTTAAAGTTGCCTATGTTTGTCTTTAAAACTCCTCTTAAGGGCGTTTACAAGTTTGTCAATTCTTATTGCGGAACCCTTGCATTTATTCTCTACTTTCGAGAAACTTCACAAACATGATGAATGTGTACTTCTGTTTAAGTCCTCTGTCACAAGTGAGATGTGCTTTGTGTTTACCAGTTGCTTCACCTCATTGCTCAAAAAGCTGCAAGCTTATTTGGATTATCATTAAATCTCCTCTCTCTCATAAGGCCGTGGAATAGAATTAGGATCCAAATCAGGGCTCAGCTGACGGAAGACCACCAAAGCATGATGCCACTGCCCCTTTCCACATTCTCTTTTTCCTTGCTGCAGGATAGGGAGGAAGGTCAGCTAGCCACAGACCTGACTCAAGACCCCCTCCTGGTGACTAGGAAAAGCCATGGGTGACAAAGGAGAAAAGGAGCAGCACAGGAGCTGGAGCTTGTACCATCCCAGCAATACCAAGCTTCTTCCTCCAGCCTTTCGTGCTTCTGCTGTGATATCTCCTCTCCCAAAAAAAAGCGATGGGGGGGGGGGGGGGGGGAAGAATTTGCACTGCAATTAATGCAGCAATATGTACCTCTTAAAAGTCATCTTTCAGGTTCTTTCCAGCTCCAAACACTACTCCTACTCCCTGAGAATATTTAATTGAAATGAAGGGGGGAAACAACATCCCTGTGAGACCCTTTTCTAGCACAGGATGGTATATAAAGCAACTTGCCCATACGATGTTGTCCAGCTATAGGGAAGAGATTTTGCACTTCTTTCATACTTTCATCACAGATATACTCTCCATAGGGTCATTAAGACAGGACTAGGTGCGTGGGAGCTGCAGGCTACATGCACGTAACAAAAGCAGCATCTGACAAGGAAATGCCAGGCTCTCAGAGTGGTGGAGAGCAGCATGGCAGTGGCACAAATGTATGCCAGGAAGAAACACGGAAGTACAGGGCAGGAAAGAATGATGGGCAACTTTACCTTCCCCAAAACCTGGTCTTGCTCATTAGAGTTCACTTTCAGGTGCCTTCAGAGGGTCAATGGCGCTCTTTGTACTGTACCTCTCATCTTTACCCAAATTTTTGAATCATAAATTCAGTAATGGCCACCTGGGGAGAGGGAGGACTGAGGAAGAACTACTTGAGAATGCTGAAAAGACAGAGTGATGGAGGCAACAGAAGATATGGCAGTGGTGAAGGCTAAAACACATTGTATTTCCCAGCAATGGTTGGTGAGCTAAGGAACAGGAAATCAACATACTCCTCTTTGGAAGACCAGTGTTTAATTTAACCCTATAGCCACAGCTGGGAAGTGCTCAGCGATAAAGCTCTTTCCAGCTCTCCCTCTAGTGTAAGAGTGCTTCAGCTGTTAATAGTCAAATACCTTCTGTGGACTCTTCACAGGGCCAAAGTACAGTATCTACTTCCACCGGCTAGGCCTTGATGTGGTCCCATCTTTCTCTGGTTTCATTCCTTTCATGATTTTTTGTCTCTTCACAGACTCCTCCACTGGTCTTGGGCCTGTGATTTCCCAGCAGAACTTCTTCCAAGTTCCACTCGAACGAAAGCACTGTTGTCTGTCCGAACTGAACAGTTCAACATAAGCAGGTCAACATTCAGTGTTCCTAACACCTCAGCTTGTCAAGCGGAGGATGATTAGATGTTAACCTCAGCTTTCATTAAGAAAAAATAAAGTTTTATTGTTTCCCTTTGGGTACTGGAGAAAAGTTTGAGAATACCAAACATGAAAATTCTAGGCTCTAAACCAAGTAACACACAATAATCCTTAATCTTAAAGGTCAAAATTTCACTCACTTGTGACTTTTGACCACAGACCTGGCGGAGTGTTTGTGTTTGCCCTCCATCACACAGAAGAGAAGAGGAGGCAGATATCCTGGGGCAGAGACTGGGATGCCCAAAACACCCAATGTTTTCTGACATTGTGTCCTGATAAGCGTAACCTAACTCTCAGCATTCCTGGAAGATCAAAATCACCCTTCACCTCCTGCTTCCATGCCAACGCACACAGAAGACAACAGCAGCGTGTCTGAACCCTTCCAACAACCAACCTGAGCAACGACAGGATGCAACTTCACCGAGCATTTCTCCTTTTCGTAAAAGAACACCACCCAGACTGCCTCAGGAAATCACTGTAACCCTGCTCCACCCGGTCACCGACCAGTCCCACCGAGCCATGCCCGGGCGGTGGGAGCTCACCACACATCATGTGTTACCACCACACGCCTTCACACATCTCCGCCACCGAGCTCACGCCCCAGGACTGCGGGACCCCCTCAGGCAGGACGCCCGCGGCCCCCATGGGAACCGGTGGACCCCCACCTCGCAGGCCGGCCGGGGGCGACCCGGGAGGCCCCTGCGGAGGCCCCTGCGGAGGCCCTGAGGCCTGCCCCGTCGCGCCCCCCGGCACCTATAGGGCCCATACCCCACCCCCCGCCCCGGGCGGCGGAAGTGTGTGTAGGGGGCAGTATAGGAATTTCCTGTGACGTCCCGGCCCGGACTCCATTAGGCTGCAGCTGGGCTGAGAGGAGACAAACCCGGCGGGCAGCAAACGGAGCGGGCCGGGCGCCTGGGGCTGCCGGCCGGGGGCTCAGGGCAGCGGCGGCCGCCATCGCCAGAGGGAGCCCCGAGCGGGCGGCGGCGCTGCCTCCGGGACCCCCGGGGGGCATAGGGCTCCGCTCCGCCTCCCCTCACCCCCCTTCCCCCTCCCCCCCCGCCTCCCCCTCCTCGCCCTCCCGGCTTCCCACCACGGCCGCTCTCGGTGAGGAAACTCTGGCCTCCGCTTCCTCCTCCTCCGACTCGGACACCGGCGGAGCCTCCCCGCCCCCGCGGAAGAAAGCCCGGGCCTCCCCGGCGGCGGCGGTGGAGGGAGCAGGAGAGCCCGGGGCTTCCGCGGGCAGAGCAGGCCTTACCTCGTCCCAGTCCCTCTCGCTCCCCGCCGGGCTCGCCCCCGCCGCCGCCCCGCTCAGAGGCAGTAGCAGCGGCAGCGGCGTCAGCAGCGCCATGCAGGCCAACGGGGCAGGAGGGGGCCAACAACAGCAGCAGCAGCCGTCGCAAGGGCCGGTGGGCCCGGAGCTGGGCTGCCTGAGCGCCCAGAACGGCGAGGCCTCGGCAGGCACGGCTGCCAGCGACCAGCTGGCTCACGCCAACGGGCTGCTGCCCTCGGCTAACAGCGGCGGCGGCAGCAGCCCCGGTGGCCTCAGCGTCAACAACGGGGTGCCCGCCGCCGGGGTCCCCGGCCCGGCCTCCGCGGAGCTGGGGGGCGGCGGCGGCAGCGCCCTGAAGAAGAAGAAGCGGCTCTCGCAGTCTGACGAGGACGTGATCCGGCTGATCGGGCAGCACCTCCACAGCCTGGGCCTCAAGTAAGTGCCCGCGGCCTCGGAGGCGACGAGGCCGCGGTGGGCGAGGGGGAGGGCGGCCTGGGGGAAGGGAGTGGGGGAACTCCTTCCCTCCCTGCCCCGGCCTGGTGTCCTGACAGAAGGGGTCGGGGGAGGCCCCGTACAGACGCCCCGCCGTCCTCCGTCCGCGGGGAGGGGGCCGCAGGAGGCCGATGGTCCCCCCGGAGGATGGGCTGCCCGAAGCGGGGAGCTGGGTCGGGGGAAGGTGAAGGGACCTCTGCATGGGGATTAGTGGCCAAAACTGCCCCGTCGCAGGCTGGTAGTCCCCAGGGAGGAGAGAGCAGCGCCTGCCTGGGTGCGAGGCGGAGCGGTGGGGCAGGCCCGCACGCAAAAAAAACCCACAACATGGAGCCAGAGATGTGTTTTCCAAGCCTGTGCCGGTTAGCTCGGGTGTCCGCGAAGGGACAGGCCGGGAGCTTCCTCTGCCAGGGATGGCAATATGGAAGTCGAGTTGCACACCGATAAGGGTTGATCAATACAAATGTGTTAGTAGGGGAGAAGTTATCTGGTAAACATAATGGAGTCCGAGCTTGGGGGGGGGGACGGACGGGACGGGGGAGGGACGGCTATTTACAGATAAGCTCAAAAATTTGGCTTGACAGCTCCGAGGAAGAGAGCACAAACTAAACTGCCACTTAAATAAGATGTTTGGTTTCGCTCTGAAAACCTTCACCCCTTCGTAAATGGCGAAGGCCTCTGAAGGTTTGCGCTGGACACATGTTTTTGATAATAATCTTATCTGTAGATTAGAAAAGAGTGGTGTTGGCTCTTCCTTAAAATCAGAATAGGAAAAATAATTTCCCAGTGGAGTAGGGCAAGTCTAAGAATTTAATCACAATGCTTGCTTTGTGAGTAAAGCTAAAGCCAACACGTCATAATTTTGGAAGGAGGTTAGAGAAGTCCTCTCAAGTCTTCACATAGTTCCACAAAAGAAGTCTCCAAAACACTGTGGAATGCGTCAATAATAAAGAACTTAGCACATAAAATAAATGGTCTCTGACACAAGAGGCAAGTTTACAGCAGCAGACAACTCGTGACTGTTCATAGACGACACTACAGTAAATAAGCTATTTTTAGTGTTAAGGGAGAGGGCTATAGGTTCATGACTTTGTTTATTTTATGTTAAGGAGCCAGTCTTAATATGCGGTGAAGAAAAAGTTAGGCCTGTTGCAGATGTAGTAGCATGTTCTTTTTTGGGGGGGGGGGGGGGAGGGAGGCAGGGGGTAGTAGAGTGTAGGTAACAGCTTTCTAGTCTTTATCTTCCTTCATGAAGTTTATCTTCTGTGCAGGGATGGCTGGTTTTGGTGGCTGGTAAGTCACATACTTTATGGTACTTCAGTGAAGCTTTCAAGCTCATTGACAATTTGCTTTAGGTATAGGTAGCTGTTTACATGTCTCAGGCAAGTTTTTGGACAAGCATCTGAATCTGGTCATAGTAGTCTTACTTTATTAAAGCTGCTTTTAAATATGGTTAACTGTTATCATAGCAGGCGGTATATTTGTGAGGGTAAAACTGGTCAGGTTTTTTTACACTGTATCTCTCCTGCAGCCAGACTGTTGATCTCCTCATGCAAGAGTCAGGATGTCGTTTAGAACATCCTTCTGCTACCAAATTCCGCAATCATGTCATGGAAGGAGAATGGGATAAGGTAACGTAGGGCTTATAGGACTGTATTAACCACTGTTTAAATTTATAGTATCTGTGAGAGAATTCAAAATCCACTCTCCTTACATATTTTTTTTTTCTTATGCCGATTTCTACAGGCTGAGAACGACCTGAATGAACTTAAGGCCTTAGTGCATTCTCCGCATGCAATTGTGGTAAGAGGCACACTTGAACTCTTTCAGAGCTGTATAGTTGGACTAATTGTAGTGGTGTAATCTTTCACTATGGAGTTGGTTGTCCGTAGCTCTTATTTACTTTTTTTGTTGACTTTAAGCAGCTTGCATGCTATCTCAAATGTCATACTAATCTCAACTTTTAAATTCTTTTTTAGAATGTGAGATAGGAAGCCCAAAAGTATTGAGGCTGATGTTTGGTATACTGAATGCTAAAACTTTGTTAAACATACTTAACTGATAAAATAGCCTGTAACAGTCCTAAAATAGGTGAGTTTCTGCAGAAACTGCTTATCTTGAATACTAATTTCAAACTTGAAATACTTCTCACCATCAATGTGTTTATGGGAGCTAGGCTTTCTTGAGGGAAGAGAAGTTTAGAAATGAAATGCAGTAACGCTGATAGAGTTGGCATTGTAATAGCACATTACAAGAAGGTAGAGGCTGCTATAGAACATGAGCAATACTGTTGCTTTTCCAGATGGCTTCTACAGAGCAAATGCATTTGTAATGCTGTTTGGGATTATATTTAGAGTTTTTGTCTTTGGCTGTCTTTTTTTACGTTGACCCTAGGTATAAAAGGTTAGTAGGTCCTGTTACTTGACAATTACAACATGTGGTGTTACAATTTCAGTTACTTTGAGCAAAGTGTGTCTTGGTTTGATTTTTTTCTATCTTTAGATGAAAGTCATTACCCAGAGTGGTTAGGGTTAGCTCTTCAAAAGGGCTTGCTCTGTTGTGTTTAAATGTTTATTCTAACAAAGTTAGAACAACTATGGTTACTTCGGAAGAAAGCAGTAGCAAGGCTTTTTGAAGTGTGTGTGACTGTAAACAATGAAGGATCAGCTGATGGCTGCTTAGCTCTACTTCTAGCTGATTCATTTGTTGTCAAGACAATTTCCTGTCTGGTGGGGGAGGGAGAAAAAGAGAGAACAGGAAGTGAAGTAGGAAAAACAAATGTTTAACACAGCATCAGAGGGTACTGGACAGAAGTTTATGTTCTGTTCTATTAATTTGGTCAAAGCTTAGCACCTCTTATTTAGACTAGTATTTCACTTTCTCTTTTCTCAAGACTTGATATAGGCAAGATTTACTGTTCAAGTAGTTTAGAATGTTGCATGCAGCTTTCAGTAGTTTCTGGAGTCTGAAAGTGTGAAACCACTGTATGTGAATATGAATGGTCATTTGAAGCAGATTTTCTCACGTTTTTTGATTTACGAAGTTTCTCTGTAGTATTGGAACTGTTTTACATGTATGGAAGTTGAGGTTTAACTGAGCATTGTACTTTTTAGAGAACATAATTTGAGAAAAAAGGGGACATTTTCCTTTTGTTTTTGGAGGGCTCTGAAAACCTGCTCTTCTTGAATGTTGATGTCTAACTATTTGAATAAAACTTGGTGCAATAAAAATAGTTGGTTTAGACTGACCTTTATCTGAACCTAGTATTAACTGTCTTCTCTTCAAAGTTGTTCTCCTTTATATAAACTTCATATAATTTTAAACAGATAAGGGTATTAAATGTCTTTACATGTGTGTGTTAGTAAGGCAATACTGATTTGCAAAGATAAACAGAGCACACAGGAGTTCAATCGCGTGCGCACTGTCTTCACCTCCTTCCCCACCCATTTTTGTACCTGGTTGAAATTGTGGGTGGGTATTCGTAAAGTCAGCACCTGGAAAACTAATGGAAGATCATTGCAGGTGAGGAGGGATGCTTTATCCTCTGTAGGTAATCCTGACTGCAGTAAAGTCAGAGCTAACAAAGATAAGTGTGATTAGGTAAAGTTCAAACAAGATGCTGCTGTAGGTAACTCTTTAAAAAATGGAAAATTAGATTTCATGTTTCCTGACTTGTGACTCATAGTGTATGACTAGATGTTTCGAAAATGTGTGCGTATAAGAAGAATGGGTACCTAAAAGTTTGGATGACACAGAGGGCTTAACAAAGTAGGGTGTGTGAGTGTGTGTGGTTGGTGGTTTGCATTTGGTTTTTGGTTTGTGGTTTGTTTGTTTGTGTTTGTTGTTTTGGTTTTGTTATGTGTTTTTGTTTTTGTTTTGTTTTGGTGTTTCTTTTTTCCTTATAGTTAATATGACCTGGAGAAAATAACCAGGATACGTAGCTGCTTTTGAAATGTCTGATCAGTGAAGGGGATGCATATGTATTTTGAAAATTCTACTCCTGTTTTAATTTTCTTATTTCTGCAAAGTGCTGTAAGTTCTGCAGGTAAAAACACTACCCATGAAATGGC